GTAAAGGTGACCATACGTCTAAGTGGACGTCTATGACATGCGGAGTCCCTCAAGGCTCAATTCAGCCTGTATATGCTTCAAGAGATCAGATGTGCTAAAACATTAGTCGCATTTAAATCTAGATTCAAAACTCATCTGTTTAGCTATGCATTTATTGAATGAGCACTGTGCAATGTCCTAACTGATGCACTGTATTTTATGCAACCCGAAATGATTGCACTGTATTTTATGTATAATCATTTTCTATTTTTAACAGTCTTAAATTTATTTTAAATTAAATTTTAAATCATTTTCAAAGTTTTTAAATTCCTTGTTTTATTTTTGTGATTATTTTTTTATGATTATTTTACTTTCTTTTATGTAAAGCACTTTGAATTACCATTGTGTATGAAATGTGCTATATAAATAAACTTGCCTTGCCTTGCCTCTCCAGGCTGAACTGGGAAACAGGAGCCCACTCAGGGCTGGATGGGACTAGCGGGGACAGAGGAGAGGGGGCAAGTTGGGTTCCAGCTCTGTTTCCCAGTCTATGAGGTCCTTCTCAAAGTCCAGCAGTCCCAGATGTATTATCAGCTCACCCTCAGCTGCAGTGCAGTGGGTGGAGCTCCACTCCGCGCTTTCTCTGTCCGCGGCATTCTCCCTCGTGGCGGGCTCTGTTGCTGGCTCTCGCACCTTGACTGATGTCATTTGCAGCTCCGGCTCCGCGGCGATCCTCAGCACTGTCGCTCCTTGCGGCAATGGCTCGTCGGTCGCGGCAGGCTCCGGCTCTTCGTCAGCGGTGGGCTCGGGCATGCGCTCTGCGGATCAGGGAGATGGTGGGCTGGGCACTGGGTCGGGAGTGGAACTGTGTGTTCTTCCACAAAGGCGGCGAAATTCGCTCGAGGACCATTTTCGGACGACAGCGCTCTGCACGAGATGTTTAAACTGGCATCGTAGAATGCACAGAGCGCATCGTCCAGGTAGCTGGTTAAAGCAGTGAGGACCAGGAACAGTCTGGTATGGCCCTCAAGCGATTTCTCCCCCTGCTCCAGCAGGAGGAGGAGGTGGTATTCTGGACGGGAGAGGGAATCCATGAAAACACACAATGGAAAAAAAGACACTAGGAAAAACAAGAAAACAAACGGAAAACACGGAGGTGACTGTGTAGGTCTGGTCTTCTGTCACGGTACACTGTTGGGAGGAAGCACGCAGGAGGCACGAGGAAACGTAAACTGTCTTTAATCCAAGGAATACAGGGAAATCCACACAAAGGGCGCTGGAGCAAACACACGGACACAACGAGTAGACCAGACAAACACAGACTGAACAGACTGGGACCTTTAAACACAGGGCAATCAGGAGAACACCGGTGCATTACTGATCAAGAATCAGAATTACTCAGACTGTTATGATAATAGAGATATATATGTCATGCCCCTGGACTGGTTTTCCCTCCCCTTGTGTTCCGTGTCCCAGTTAATTGACTCCTTTCTTTGAAATGTCAGCTTTGTTGAACATATGTTGATTATGTATCTAGTCTGAAAGACTCATGAGCAGCAACTTTTTTATTTTGGGTATATCATTTGTGTCTCCATGCCGAAAATGGGGGGTGACCGCAAAGGGGTTAAAAAACACATGACAGTTCACACTGGAGAGAAGTGATTCACCTGCCAACAGTGTGGAAATAGCTTCAATGATAAAGGACACTTTGAAGGCCACATGAGAATGCACACTGGAGTAAAGCCTTACACCTGCAAATTGTGTGGAAAGAGCTTCACTGAGAAAAGAAACGTAAAACACCACATGAGCGTTCACACTGGAGAGAAGCCTTTCACCTGCAAACAGTGTGGAAAAAGCTTCTCTCAAAGAGGACATCTTATAAAGTCCACATGAGAGTTCATACCGGAGAGAAGTCGTTCATATGTGATCAGTGTGAAAAGAGTTTCAAACAAAAATAATCCCTTAACTGTCATTTGAGTTCACCCAAGAAGTGTGGAAAAAATGTCAGCCCAAACAGGGGTCAGCAACCTTTATGTCATGAAGTGCTTTTTTTTTTTTTTTTTTTTTTTTTTTTTCAAAAT